TATTGTTTTCTTTTTTTTCGAACGAGACGCGAGGCATATAGGTTCTTCTTGTAGATACCGAATAGACTCTAGATAGCAAATAGCTTTAATTATTTAAGCGGTAAACGGTAACTTTCTAGCGGAGCACCCGGTTACACGGGTGAGGAATTTGTAATATAGGAAGTTCGTGCGGACAAAACGAGCGGGAGGTCAGACACAAGGACCACCGGAAGGAGGGAAATCATATCGTAAACCTTAATAATGAATATTTTACAGAAGCGACGACGACAAAAGAGAGAGAGAGAGAGAGAGAGAGAGAGAGAAAACAGAAAAAGAGGGAGAGAATAAAACGAGAGTAGTGAGAAAAGGGAAAAGCGTAGAGGATAAAACTGTAGATAGAGACGTTCGGAAACAAAGAGAGAGAAAAAGGAAACAAATAAACGAGAGAAGAAGTGTGTAAGAGAAAGAAAGAGAGAGAGAGAGAGAGAGAAAAAGGAAAGAAAAGTTTATTGATGCTCTTGTGTACGCGCGTTACGCGTCGTGTGAAATGATCAAAAAAACGAAAACAAAAGAAATTTGGTAAAAATAATAATAATAGAGAGGAGAGGAGCGAGGTGTAACGTGCCGAGAAAAAGAGGACATATTGTCATTCAGTAGTGAAAATAATTGTATTAAAAAAAAAAAAAAGAATATGAAACGAGAAGGTTTACCTAACGTAATAGTTTACTTGATTTGTATTTCATTTGAAATTGTATTATAGCTTAAAGATTATCCTGTACATTGCATACACACACACACACATACACACTCACACACGAGCACTATTGTTTTAAATTGTACGTTTATGATTATTATACGAAGATAAAAAAGAAAAATAAATAAGGTATACAAAGTAATTGAAGACACATGAGAAATTTTATTCTGAATCTCGATCTACGTGGAATCTTCGGCGACACCTTTTGTAGAAAATCGCATCTTCAGAGGCATCGAGCGTACGTGAACGGTTCTTTCATAAAACTGTCATGATTTCGATCTTTTCAATTCTTCAATGTATGCTGTATACCATACGATGATAAATCGTTCAGATTTTCCACGGAAAGTGAAATTGTTTTACCTTTTGTATAAACAGAATGTTTTCTGACTAGACGATGAACAATCAGAGAAACGACGGGATACATACAAGCTTATGTAAAAACACTTGATGTCTCGAACGCTGCGACTTACCGGTGTACAGATTAATTAATTCTCGTTTGGTAGGGAATCTTGATAAACAGTCTACACCGATCTAAATCCCGCGATAGCGTTAGACACGCAATAATACGATTTAAAACACGATACGAATGAAAAATTCTCTTTATTGTATATACGTACATGATTATATTATTCATATCAGTGTCTCCTTTCAAGAATTTCTAAATTAAAAGGACTGTATTGAAAACTGGTAGAGCAATTATTCCATTGATCCCTCCTTAGCTTGAATGCAATTATTAGAATTGTTAATGTTTCGAATGAGACGAGCAAACGGATTTCGTTAAAAAATTTCTGCAGCTTTTTGTTCGTTCTGTGATTGTCGATCGAAGCACGCAAATTTTTCCGGGTGTAATTTTTAATCGAAGAGGGAGCACAAGTTGCAATAATGTTTATTGAAGTGGAAACGTTATATTTGCGATAGTCTGGAAAACAATATTTTAAAAACAGATATAAAAAAATATTGACTGTTAATTCTACCATATGTCGGTAATGCAGAATAAAAACTGCTGTTGGTAATATCCGTGGCATAGCCACAGACGATATAGAGTAGACCACTCATCCAATGTATTTTTTTGTCACACGACCCGGGGGTTCCGGAACCCCGTTACCATCAACCTACTCTATTGCTTGGTACTGGTATTATATCACTGCGCTATTAGTGGTAGGAATTGTATTTCAAGAACACTTGGCATTTGTTATTTTAAATAATGAAGGAGACAAAATTTCGAATCTTAGGATGAATTAGAATGGATTCAGTCCGACACATTTGCGTTTTGGGATCCAAGGGTGTATTGATAACACATTATCAATATACACACGACCAATATCGATCGTTTTGCGCGATGCAGCTCTTAAAATAACCGTTCTTGAGGGTAGAGTACGCTTCAAAACGAGTAATTGTTGACAATGCCGGTATATCAGATCGTGTGACAAAAGTTTCATAAGATGATTGGTCTACCCTATATCTCGTCTGCACCGAGACCTTTACCATTTTCGTGTCGTTCCATTGATTTAGCATTGATTTATCAGTAGATGATTCATCACATGCGCGTGTTCTACAGCTGTCACAAGATTGTAAACTGCGAAGGATAACTCTGGAGGTATTAGCACTAGAGAAAAGAGTATGACAAGGAGGGGAATAGTGGTAGATAAGGGTAGCACTAAAGAAACGAGTTAAACAAGGAAAGGAATAGGGATAGACAAGGACAAAAAATTTAAAAAGTAAAATTAACGCCATCTCATGTTTGGCTCCGCGAACTAACGACTCGTTACTCGGAACACAGAATGTGAACAGAGGTATTAGACAAGGAACGCACTACTGTGCGAGAAGGACAGAGAGAAAACGTTTCTTATTGGTCCACGGGCCGCCATGGTTCACCTCACAGGCCCCAAGTCAAGTCGATCGGTGAAAAATCATTAATAATTCATTATTTACGATGATTTTGTGAACTTTTAGTGTTGAAGAATGGAGTATGAACCTTTAGCAACTTTCTCGTATAGGTTTGAAGGCCCTAGGTCTTTTCAATAGTTAGTTATTAATAATTGTTGTGCAAATTGTCGGCAACGATACGACAGTCATTTACGGTTTTTCAATAATATCATTG